ATGATGATTAAAATGATAAAAAAGACAATGATGTTCTCTTTAAACTAATATGGCATTTAATCCGTTAATTGAAACCTCTACAATTTATACCTTGTTTTCCATTTTTAATTAAGATTCTAATTTATATTTTTAGCAACCCCCTCTTGAAAACAGTAAAAATTTGTCATCCTCCCAAAAAATGTCTATAAAATTTACGATGCCCCCCAAATTTCACCTGCCCCCCTGTGGTATACATTATGAACTCGATAAGTATTTCACCACAATTTAAAGATAGCCCAAAAAGGATTATATTTGAAGAAAAACTCAAAATGTCAAGTTGTAAAAGCTCAAAAGAAGTCAGAACATAAGTCCAAAAGCTACTCAAAAYAAAAGTGAAAAGCCSAAGGGATTCAAACCGGTGTCTTCGCAAGAATGAAATTCTCCTCTTATAAAGTCTACTTTGCTCGATTCAATGATTCCCCGGTTACTGGAAAAGAAAGAAAATTGTAATTCTATATTGAGAGACATACACTTCGATGATTTTTAAGATGTAGAAACTGAAAACACAAGAAAATTTTTAATCAATGTGAGCTCGTTCAAAAGCTAAGCTTTCACAATGAAAACAGCTGAAAGCAGGCGAACTTTCAAGCACTTCGCGGTGCATAATCCTCGGCTATCAAGTTTACTTTGGCAATTTCTCGATGCAATAGCTCGTCGGTTGCTGGAAAGAAAGAAAATTGTAATTCTATATTGAGGGACATCCACTTCGAAAAAGTAAACAAATGTACAACGGCGGCCGCGACGATAGAACAATTAGTGAAAATTTGTCAGTAAACTGTAATGATAATGTATTTGTGTGTGAAAATAAACTGAATTTATAAAACAATGAGTCAAWATCACCGTCTTTTTACCCGACAATTACTGAAAATATGATGATTTCCGTGTCATTTTACTCATATCGTGAGATAAGATATTTGAGAAAAGCGGTGCTATCAGATAGAGGGAGGCAACGGGCTGCAGTGAGACTTTTCCTATATACTTTGAGTAATTCTTCTACGTAATCTACGATGTAAAAAAACACATAATAAACGAGTTATTAMCCTCGCTTGCTCGATCTGTACGGGAAAAATATCAGACCTCGGTCTTTTTAAGGAATGGACAATATCTAGCGAGCGTCCATCCAATGAGAGATGCACGCGGATAGTGTTGGGAGAGCACGAASAAGAGCCGAGAGATTAGCTGAGTGCTCTCCCAACTATCCAAGTGCATCAATGATCGAATCGAACTCTCCTTTTTGACGTTCCAGCGCAAAGAAAATGATTTGCTTCGTTCTTGTGTTGCTGATTCCATGGCAAACTATGGCAGACAGCTGCAGAAGCTCTCCATACTCAATCCAAGGGTTCAGGATTCGTGGTCATGTGATCAAAACTGTTTTTCTATCGACCAGAAGTCAATGCGAGCATCAGTGTGCTGCACAACAAGGCTGCAACAGCATCAGTTTTCATCAGAATAAAGGAAAGTGCGAATTGCATGACGGTAACCACATCACAAATCCTGAAATCGTTCTTCCAAGTGATGGATACACCTACGTGAACTTTCCAGCAAGGCCTCCAAAGAGATGYAGTCGTAAGTYATGCAGCTATCCGTTAGCATGTGTGCCGGAGGGCAACAGTTACAAATGCGTCACTTGTGAAGGTAAGTGATCATTGCGCTATCATTCCATGTCAATCCGGCATCCTCTGGGCACAATATTTTCACTACCGCTTAATCATGAGAGAGAATTAGTTAGGTTTTAGCGTCTACATATTCAAACGCTTCAGTTCTAACCTGACCCTTTTCTCACCTTTGTTTTTCTTTATTGCAGAGGCCAAAGCTGAACAAGTTTTGAATTTCCCAAGGAAATCTGCTCAAGACTATGCTTTTCTCAATGGTCCATTTGCTTCACTGAGCGCCTTCACGCTTTCTCTCTGGGTTCAACTGGACAGCTCAAGTACATCATATTCTGTGCTRAATTATGGTTCATTAGCATCCATCTATGCTACTGATAGCTACATTGGTGTTAACATAAACAGTCAATCACAGTAAGTTGAAACTCTGTACAAAAAATAAAGATATTACGTCGCCGATCTCTATGTCACATCTGACTCTCTGCACATCGCATTATTAATTGAGTATTAATTATTAAACATAAACCAATAGTCGACTAAAAGAATGGCACAGAAATCCTGGTGGTATGGCAAGTGCTCTGATAGCTTTTGGTGTCCCGCGGTACCTCCTCCAGTCATTAGTCCAAGAAAGCTAAGGAGCACATTGCCCGGGGACCCCGTTTTGGATAGGTACGTGCCGCCAGCGTTCTAAAACCCTGACCCTGTTTAAGGCACTAGAAAGTTAAAATCCATACCCTGTTCAAGACAAATCGTAAAAATAAGGAATCGCTATCTATGCTGCAACCATCAAAACTGCAATTATACTGACATCCATCAAAGACAATAAGAAGTTTTTGATAACACGTTAATAATCCTGCTATTAAAGGGTATTTCTACTATTTCTGCGGTATTTCTTATGAAAATATTATCCTGTCAAAGACACAAAAAAAGTTATATCGGTGTTTTTACTAAAATGTACAGCCTGTTCAAGACAATTTCGGGTGAAATGCATACCCTGTTTAAGACAGCAAGGCCAAAAACCATACCCTGGCCAGCGGCACGTCCTGATCGTATAGCAAATATATGGGAGTACGTACCACCCCCGGGGCACATTGGTTCTACCTTGTTCCAGTTACTTCTACCTTTTTTCAAACTATTACTAGATAATAATCTATTTAGTATAGATTTAGTATAGACGAATCGATCCCAAACCGTCGAATCTATATGCGCCGTCTTATATCATTACGCCGCCGAGATAACATACTTATAAAACTTATGAATTAGGCTCATTAGGAATTCCATGAATAACAGACAAAGAAAATTTAAATAGCTTTTGTTTCAGAAAAAAGTTCGGGAATTGGAAGACAAATAGTGCTTCATGTATTCAAAATTATGAAAAACTGAAAACCTGGGTGGAGATGGAATGGACCAATATATTTAATTACGCGGACTTGAAATCCCGTCACGTCCTCATTGCAGTACATCGTCATGTATGTCTAGACAGTCGTCYAGCTTTGAAGGAAAGAGGAGGGGGAAGTGTTGTCAAATTTTCCAGTTATGTTAGGATGAAGATGATAATTATTTTACAGTCCCTATAAAATGATCATATCCTGATATATATTTTTTTGTTTAGGTCTCTCCAAAAAATTAACCTTGCTGACAGCAAATGGCATCATTTCTGCCTCACCTGGGAAAACACAGGTGGCAACATCAAATTCTACATCGATGGTGCAGTTAGAATCGCATTTACCGGAAATCAAGGCCAAATGCTTAGCAGTGGGTATATAGAACTTGGCTATGGCCCTAGGACAGGAACCGGTACTCAAGATTGGAAAGCTCTGATGGGAAATCTGACCAGCGTAAACATATGGAGTAGAGTGTTTTCTTCTGAAGAAGTGTCGGTTCTTGCTTCGTCATGTCCTACAAGCGAGGGAGATGTCGTACAGTGGTCAAGCTTGAAGACAAAGGGTGTTGGCATGGCAAAGCTTGTATGTTCCAATTTTTGCATGTAGAATGTAACATGTAGGTCAATTTTTGCATGTAGAATGTAACATGTAGGTCATTACGTATTTCCAGGTATCTGGAAATTATTTCAACATAACATCGCAGTCAAATCTGTTAATCAACGTTCACTACAAATATATGTAATTTTAATCAGCTGTAGAAAATAGTTCACTGCAAAATTACAAGTAGAACGTAAGCAACAAGACCAACAGGTTTATTCATATAAGTAGACTATAGAAAACATGAACACCAGTCACTGTCCACTAGACTTATAGAAAAGAAGAACGTCATTTTGTGCATTGTCGATTTCAAGGAAAATTTGAAACGAAACCCAGAAGAAGAGGGACAGAATGGTAGCAGACGGAATCAAAGAGCCGCTTCTAGTCAATAAAAATTCATTGCTTCTCTAGACTTTATTAACGATTGTTAAAACACAAGAAGGGCATCACATGAATAATGATATTTAGAGTTAGTAAAGAAGATCCAAGGCATGTAATGACACGGTTTAACATCCTTCTAATGAATAAAATGCGTCGCGGCTCCTTGTGGAAGGGGAATACGGAAGGAAAAGAGAACAGTGAATGTGAACCAATGAGRAAGCGCGGGCTCTGGCCATCCCAAGTACACGTGTATATTTAGTTGTCCCATAATTTTATTGTTTCTCCCTCCTCCTCCTCCTCTACTTATCTTTTTTTATCGTTTCTAATCTGCTACGCAGGCTAATATCAGATTAGCATTTCACAATTGCTGCGAATTTCAGACGTTTTATTTATGTTAGAATAATATTATTTAGGCAAAAAAAATTGTGCGAACGACATATTTTATACTAAGTTATTGAGCCTGGGTTACCTGTGATTTATCCCGTCCTTTGAGGAATAGTGTAATATTGCCAAATATTACATTAAATTACTAGAAGTAGTACATCTCATCTAAAACGAATTAAAAAAGGTAGTAACATACACCTAATTACACAAACGTTGTCCAAGAAAAAAGAACTTATACTATGTAGGAATTAATTAAAATACAAAAGAAAGTGCTCGGCTTCATCAGTGGTCATGTTTTGTCTTTAAATTTCAATTCCTAATGTCCTAAATCCATAAATCTCAGGACAAAGTTTTCGTAATTAGGTGTATATACTTTTCTAAAGTAAAAAACATGTTGCATTGTGGTTTAGCCTCAATACAAATTCAACCATATTTGGACGCATGAACAAAAGAAATGTACCGAATTCATCGTCAGCACAGTCTAGTATCTCGTGGTTTTAATGGCATCGGAGRCACATTCAATTTTCAGAAGTGCATGATTGACTGATATGCTAAACAATCGCTTAGTTTTCCTGTTGTTTCTTTTGTTTTCTATTCTTTTGAGTGCCACGACCATATCGCCGCCAAGGTCAAACCATTTTGAGATCATATGCAACCTTTCTATGACATCTTTGGGGCCAGTTCAATGAAGAGTAGATATAGGTAACCACGCAATTTTGTTTTTASACTCTGGCTTCGAGGTTTTCGCGAGATAAGTTCTGTCATCGTCGTGCGATAAGTTGGTGTATCACGAGATAAAAGCGGAACTTTTTTTATAAAAAATTAATCGAGTGGCATGGAATGGCTCTGAGAGAGATTAGGGACTTCCTTTGTTTTCTTGGTCAATGAAAATTWAATTTCTAGTTGGGCTTCCTCTGTAGAAAATTCAAAATGTCTGAAATGAAGTGTTGCATCATTGTTGGAATTTTTAGTAAAAACAAAAAGGAATGAAACTATCAGACTTGACGTAGGCGTTGCTGTTTTTTTTTTGTTTTAGCTCCTTTGAGCGTGTCTTTTGTTACCATTGGAAGATGCACTTAATCTATAGCCATAAATCAAAGATTGCATGGTACGAATCAGACCGTCAGATTTAGATTTGTAATTGTTTTTTCACTTGTGGAAATGTAACTTTCTTTGAACTCAGGGGCTTGTTACGAGTGTGACGTCTAGTAAGGGATCCTCTCTCACATTTTAGGTACCTTTCAAAGCAAATGGTATGAGAACCAAAGGTATTCGTTTCTTTTATAAACGCCTTTGAGGGTTGTGAGAACGTCATACTAGGCTCGAACTCAGACCCCTATGATAGTTTGTGGCCATTTCGAAATTAAGGAAAATTTTATAACTTAAAAGTTTCACACAACAAACGAGCTGATAACTGATGTACATGAAGTTACTAAGCAACATTTTATTTTT